TTCCTGCGGGAGCTCTGGCTCTCTGAATCCAGCGCTGTGAGACTTTCTTGTAATCAGACTTTCAGTAAACTTTCTGTTGATTTTAAACAGTCCTCTCCTGTCGTCACTTCTCGTGCTTCCAACAAAAGAATTGGGTTAATTTCTGACAAAAAGCGTGGAATCTAACATGATCATACACCCAACTGAATGTTGCAGCTGCACCCCAATATAGATACATTTCTGCCACTTACACTTGATATGAATGGCGCACTGTTAATTGTTCTGCTATCAGGAGACCAAAAAAGAGAAGTCAACTTCTGTTTGATGCATAACACAGACATAATACCTCTAACGCCTAACTTCAGCCTTATATCACCCCTAATTCTGACCATGAAGTTTATGTTTCAAAGAAAATTATAGAAGGTTTTCACTCTGTTGTCAGTCAGTCAATACTTTAGTGGCACACATGAAGCTTTGTGTAACCATTTTACTCCCCAAATAACCAAACAGACAACATTTCTCTCCAATTAGTTTACTTACTGATATATCTGGACACATTTAGTCCAAATTCAGCTAATAGAGGCTATGAATGAGATGTAAAGTAGCCTTAGTGAAGATAGTTTGGTACAGACTTAGTAGTTCACGTGAGTCATGGCTGGAGTGAATCCAGCCAGATCACTCTAAGGGTGGGTGTCTGAGTCTGTCACAGTTGGAGTCTTAGGTTGTCAGGACAAGCTGGGTGGTGGAGGGAGGTTTATGGTTAGAAAATGTGAAAAGGGGCAACAGTGTGTCAGATACCAACACACTGATTGTTTCACATTGGGGTGGGATAAAACAAAAGATGCTGGAACCAAGCAAATATGGGCTCAGTCCTGTTGTTAAGCATACAGTAACTTACATTACTGCAAGTCATTGTAAAGGACAGTAAACTTTTTATTTGCTTAAAGGTGGTTACTACTGTGAAATATACTCAAATAAAATGTGAATATAGATTGTAGTATTACTGAACATTGCACAATGTTTGTGTTTTTCGATAGATTTTTTGCAGTAGTTGCATTTAATTCCTGGACACATGTCTCTACATGAATCTGTAGTGGCTAGATTGTGTGAAAACACACACACACACACACACACACAAACTAATTCAAAAAGAGAATTTTCTCCAAAGGGAATTTTAACGAAAGTGCTAAATTGATCCTTTAGATTGGTCACTTCCTATCTGTCTGTCTCTCTCTGTAGTGTTCCTGGGAATCTCTGGCTTGTCCACCTACCAGGTGCGTCACAACAGCATGTGTGTCCAGTGGCAACCTCTACTACATGCCACAATATACAGACTCTTCATACAGTCTACACTTAGTAAGTATATTTACTGTCACATAAGATTGTATGGCAGAGTTTGCATGTTTGTCCATGTGTATGTGTGTCAGTTTTCAAAGGTGGTGAGAAAGTGAGTTTGTTTCTTGATTTAGTGCTTTGATTGGATTTGCTCTTCGTGTGGCACCAGACAGACAGCTCCCTCTGAGTGTTAACTTGACTGACGTATCTGTTCTGAATCCAGATCAAGTGTAACTTTGTCAGCTTCCTGCATTATGGCTTGGATCCCACCTCTTCTAAATATCTACAGGCAAGAGTGTAATTCAAACAAAGCTTCTGGGAGCAAGCAGGAGGATGCACAGGCACACAGCTGACAGTTACAGTAGATGTTCTTTGTCATCCCAACATGTCTTAGTGTTCCACGTTGTTAGAAACTAAGCTTTTGCCAGTTAAGTGACTGGAATGCAGTTCTGTCAGTAAATCAGAGGTTTTACTAGTGTTGTGATGATTGGTGAGGTAGCTGGATTCACATCCAGGCTCAGAATATGTTTCCCCATAGATTTATAGCCGGTTCTCATGAAAATGTTTCCTCTGTTTATTGTTAACAAAGACAAGACCATTCAGGACCCTGTTTTGTGTGCATGTGTGTGGTTATGGTATGTGTTGGTTACATAGAATTTTCACAATAATCTGGATTTATATTGATGTGAATCTCTGAGGAAATAAGCGTTATATTTCTGTCACTCTCACATGGCAGGGGTTTACATTGTAAAGAATATTCAGACATCTCTGTTTGCAGAAAGGAAGGAACATAGGATAGGCATGAGAGCTCTCCCCAATAAATGACATTGGTGGAAACTGCTCTGAGAATCACTCATGTCATCGCGCCAGAAGTAAAACAAATAATAAAGACACAGTGTGACCTTTAGAAGCAGTTTATTATCTCACTCAGTTATTAGAAGGACGAAAGGGAGATGTGAAGGAAAGGAAGAGGTAAAAACATAAACCATCAAACATGTAATCAAACAGCAAAATAAAAACGTACAGTATGTGCACCTTGATTTTTGTTATATTTTGGCCTTTACTTTGAATCAGTGTCTAACATATACAGACCTTAGTTAAACTTAGTTTGTCCTGAGCTGGTCTGGTCATGGTGAACAACCTTATTCAAGTTCAGGTTTTCCTTTTATTTGTCCTCGGAGGCCTATTTGTTGTGCGCCACAGGTTTATATCAAATCTACAGTAAACCTAGAACTACTGCTTCACAGTTGTATGCCTCCTCCAACCAGTCAAATTCATGGGAATGACACAAATGTGAGGTCACTGACCTTTGACCACTAAAAATAAATTACTCCATCCTTGAATCCAGATTGGCGTTTGTGCCATATTTGAAGAAATGTCTTCAAGGTGTTCCTGACATAAGGATAAGGATAATCACCTTTATTGGCCAAGTATGTTACACACACAAGGAATTTGTTTCCGGTACAGAACCGAGGCAGCCATCTGCAGCGCCAACTCAAC